AATGGGTGTGACGGGCATACTAACTGAATCCTGAACAGTGTGAATGCCAGCAGGAAATGCTGGCAGCATTGGGGAAGCCGAGGACAGGTGGCGCTGGGGCGTGGGAAAATACCCTGGGCAAGTCCCGGCAAGCAGATTGGAGCAGCAGATAGCCTGCAGTGGGTGGGAACTGTGCCAACAGCATGGGGCACATTACAGTTGAGTTAAGTGAACACAAACTTGGCTTAGTAGTTTGAAGGATGAGAAAAGGCAGAAGGAGGATGACTGAAGCACAGCATACAGTACGTAATCCTAGGAGCTCCATTCTCTGTTAATTAAAGGGGACTTCAGGGAACCCCAGCAATGGTAGGCTTAAGGAAAATTACGTTTTTCTACAGATCCAGGTTCCAGACATGAACAGGGTGGACTGATCGGGCACACTAGTCGGCAGGCAAGACAGCATTCCCACTGCCCCCCCCCTTGGCCAGACCTCCCCAAATAGACTCCATCTCAGCCCAGTAAAACAAGGGAGCCGTCTCTTTTGGCTTGCAAGACTCCTGCATGTATACATACCTGTGGCTCTTCACCTGCCAGGTCCTTCTTCTGGGGTGGTGTCTGTTGAGAACGGGCCCCTGCCATGCTTGTCAAGACAGTGTCCCAGAAAAGCTTGTTGCAAGCGGGGAAGGATTACAACTGCGGGTACTGCTATGACCACTGCAGGAAATCGCAATTCGTAGTCAAGTAATCTGTTTTACATCATGTGGTGCTTCAGACACCACACTTTTTGACCTCATAATAGAGTATGTGTTGCTCTAATAAAGAAGGGTATGCATTTTAAATAAAAAAATGCAGCTGGAATGTTTCTCTAAACATTTTAAAACACCGGAGCAAATCAATAATCATAATAATGCAATCTGGGACCATAAATACATCATATTGATAAATATATTCAAATGCTTAATGAGAAATTACAGAGACAGAGGAAGTCAGCTCTTTTAAAACTAATCACACACCGTGTAAAATATCATTTTACTGTAAAGTAATTTTTGTCTAAAACTTGCCTAGATTCTTGTTTTGGAAAAGACTTTTTGTTTCTTAGATACATTGTCTCAGGTATATGGTGATAATGGTGACTTGTTTTTCCACACATCCTAACCCACTATTCTTCAAAAGAACAATTTTCCAAAATGAACAAATCTCTGGGTTTTACTTTCAGACAAATCCCATGTAGCTATTAATGCATAAGAGAAAACAAGCATGGCCTACCAAGTGTGCAGAATATGAGGATAGGAATGTGTTCAAATTCTCTTTCGTATCTGTTGTGGCAAGGCAACCACCCACACAATAATAAAACAGACTTCAAACCAAACTATTTAACCCTTTAAAATCTTGAAGAAAAAATTGACATACTACGCAATTAACTATCAAAAGTACTTTGTTCATGCTCAGGAAGTGTGCGTTTTTATCACTACGTCACAATTTATAGCAAATGTTACTAAGTCATAGTAGGGAAAAAGGTAGAACTAACATAAGATGGATTGACTCAATAAAGGAAGCCATGGCCTTTAGTCTGTACTTTGTAAGACCCAAGCAAGGCTGTTAATGATAGGGTCATTTGGGTTGGGAATATAATTATGTCACAGGATTCCCATAAATCAGAAATCAGATATCAATTATGGTATCCCTTGTCAAGAGTACCCCTTGCTTTCTGCATGAAACAGACAGAAACTAGTTTCTCCATAATTCCTGGTGTCCGATTTTGTGTCAGCATAAAAGAACGGCTGGACATTAGGAACAGTAACACACAGAAACGTTTCAGAACACTTCAACTTCCCAGGACCTGATGTTGTGGATCTCAAACATGGTTTTGCAGGAAAAATAGGGAGTTACAAAGGGAGACTCGGGGAGGAAAATGGCAGAAATTGGCCTCAATAGAGACCAAAGGCTTCGAAGGTGCGCTGCATATATTTACAACCCAATCTGCTGTAATAGTTTAGGGGTACAGAATAGTTATCTCATCAACCAATCTCAGCTAAATTTACGCATCTTATTCCCCCTGGGTTAAAACCTGCTAAATGAAAGTTTTGATAGTCCTATGTACCATATGTGGCTAAGAAATTATGCCCACGTTATCTGTACCCCTGTAGTTGCACCCCTAGGTCTGAAAGTGTTTTTTTTCTCTGATCCATGAAATAAAACTTTTACTCTTTAAAGTGCTAAAATATTTTATTTTATTTTTCATTTATTCCAAGACGCTGAGACAGGCCAACATAAGGACTTCTTTGAAAAGCCCCCTTGAGGCCAGTGATGGTGACTGGATCAGACCAACGGGCGGGGAGGGACGGGGGGGGAAACACCGCTTCATCGACGTCTCCCCTGCCCCGGCAGCGCCCAAACGTCGATCATAGAGATGTGGCTTTCTTCGGCTTTTTTTGCGAGCGCTAGAGAGAACCCTGATAGACAATAACTTCCGGTTTCAACCGTACCGAAGCCGTGCGCTACGGATCTCTATGGCAGTTAGCGTCATCGCTTCTATAGAGGCAGCCACTCCTGCTTTTCTCTGGCCATTAGAGTGGCAAGAGCGTCACTTCGCTACCGGCAGTCTTTTGGGAGGATTAGGCTGAACTCTTTGGCTCGGTCCTTCCCTCAAAGGCACTTTCTCTACGGTCCCGCCATTACCCACAAGCCTCTACGGCACTTTTTTGTGTGTGTATATGTCTGTGTGCCACCATAGAGGAACATATTTGAGAAACCAGAGAGCTTTATTTTTAGTCCAAAAGGTGTCGGAAGTCTAGCACGCCCCCTAGTGGTAGTTGTGGGGAATAGATTAAAGCGAGGCGCCCTTCCTATTTTCAGAGGGAAAAGGAGCGCCCGTTTTCACCCACGCCAGAAGTGAGAGCTGCCCATAGCAATTAATGGAGAAATCCCAAATGTGCATCTACTCGTATACAAGCAAACAAAGCAAAGAGAGGATTTCATGTTGCAACCACTATGACTATAGTAGTATTGGCTGTGGGCTGTTGAAGTCGAAAATTGAAATAAAAACAACTGTGGCCATCACTAGCCCTTGAGAAAAACAAAACCCACATTTTAACCATTTCTTTTGTTGTTTAGTTGTTAAGTCATATCCGTGGCCATCACTAGCCCTTGAAGAAACCAAAACCCTTTTTAACTATTTCTTTCGTCCCAGAGTTGGGTCAAATTCATGTTGGTTGCTTCGATGACACTATCCAACCATCTCATCCTCTGTCTTCCCCTTCTCCTCTTGCCTTCACTCTTTCTGAACATCAGGGTCTTTACCAGGGAGTCTTCTCATGAGATGGCCAAAGTACTGGAACTTCAGCTTCAGGATCTGTTCTTCCAGTGAACACTCAGGCTTGATTTCCTTTAGAATGGATGGGTTTGTTCTCTTTGCAGTCCAGGGGACTTTCAAAAGTCTCTTCCAGCACCACAATTCAAAAGCATCAATTCTTCGGCAGTCAGCTTTCTTTATGGTCCAGCTCTCACTTCCATACATCACGAGAGGATAAACCATAGCTTTATTCGAACTTCTGTTGGCAAGGTGAGGTCTCTGCTTTTTAAGATGCTGTCAAGGTTTGGTATTGCTTTACTCCCAAGAAGAAGGTGTCTTTTAATTTCATGTCTGCTGTCACCATCTGTAATGATCATGGAGCCCAAGAAAGTAACATCTGTCATTTATTTTGTAGGACCAATCAAAAGAACTGCCAAAAATTCTGCAAGCTTTCGAGTTCTGCAGAACTGCTTATCTTCATTTTGAAGACTTTTTTTTCTTTCTCCCCTTTTTTCCCTCTCACTTTTTGTTTTGTACAAACTGCACATATGAAGAGTTGTGACCAACACCCAAGTTTGGACACGACTGTGGCTTTTTCCAGTGGTCCCAGTGGTGTGGTGAGGCCAGGGTTTACTGGGACAAAGCCACAGGATTTTCTGAGTATTCTGGCGATAAGGCATCCTCCACACCTCTGAGATTTTCCTGTCCTCTTTAAGATTAGCTATAATAATCACAGTAGTCCAGAAATAAACTCCCCCCTCTCCCAGGACGTTTGTTGCTGGGAGCTGTCCGTGTGTCATGCCCCATAATAACTGAATGAGCAATGAAGAGCCTTTGGCCTTACAAAAGACTAATTTGCTGAGCCATCGGCCCAGTATTGCAAATGTTCATCAATCCCTTTCAATTTTTTTTCCTCCTTCCAGCCAAAAACTAAAACTCACATGCAGTCCTCCAATCACATACACTTTGATGGATATATATCTGTTATTTTCCCTATTTTGAGGAAGGAAAACTCACCTTTTTATTAGTACAGTACTTGGAAAATCCTGCCCTCCTTTCCGTTTCATAGAATAATTGAGTTAAAAGGACCCCCAAAGACCTCGAGTCCAACCATTTCTTCTACGTGTCTCGGTCATGCACAGTCACTTTTTAGTGGGGGGAGAATTAATATAGAAGTTTCAACATGTCTACTAAATAAGCAATGAATTAAAAAAAACACACAAAGGAGTTTGGAAATAGCAGGCATTCAGTTCCGACCTTGTTCTATTTTGTACACTGACTTGTCTCTGGTTTTGGGGGAGAGCCCTTGAAAAACAGTTGCACTGAGAGAGGGGGGCAAGACATTCCGTGGATTCACCTTCCTATATTTTATGCTCCCATTTTGCACCTCCGAAGGCTGGGCAAATCAGGGCCAAGACGCGCTTTGCCTCAAGAACTCATGCCTACGAACACGAAGGCCGCCCCCCCCCCAATATCTCTCTCCTGGGGACCCGGGGAGCGGGAGGGCGGCACGTGGTGGTGGGGGGATCCTCCAGATATAAATTCACCCCCTCGAAATTCATGGCCAGGCCACGGGCTGGGCCAAAGGCCCGGTCGTAGGCAGGCTGTTGGGGGAAAAGGCGAGGTGGGGCGCCTCTAGCATTTTTTGAATCAGGCAGTAGCTCTGTGGCCTCTCCGCCGCCGCCCGCGAGCCGGGAGGGGAGGAGCTTCCCCGGCGGGGCGGGGCGAGGGCGAGGGCGGGGCGGAGCGCGGAACTCATGGAGGATCCGGAGTACTTGGGCGCCAGCGCGGCGGAGTGGGGGGACGACACGGACGGAGGGGCGGTGAGGGTCGTGACGGGAATACTACTGTAACTGGCTGCAATGTAGACAAACCTTGTATTTCTTAGGATCTTGTAAGGTCTTGCAATAGATTTGTTAAGGTGCCTAGTTTCTACTGTCCCTTGTTATAAATTTGAACTGACATCTGCATGAGTGTAAACGACAAATTGAGGATAGCTGCCTAGAGTGGTCGTATAGACCGGATGGGCGGGATATAAATCAAATAAATAAATCCTCAAAACGTGTCCTGCAAGGGGGATTTCGCCTTGTGCATTTTTATTTTATTTTATTCTTAAAGCTCCCGCCGTTATCAAAATTAGGAGTGGGAACGCCTTTCCTGGGGGGGTCAATAACAGAGACTTGAGAAATCGAGTTGCCCGCGGTTCGCTGAACCCTTTTTTTTGCACAACTGGGCGGGCGAGCGGTGGTTGAGGGGCTGCTTTTGAAATCCTCTCTTTCTCTCCTGCCGGAATTACTAGAAGCTTAACGGGGGGATGTGGGGAGGTAACGTGGCCCGTGCATGCTTAGGTGTCTGGTAAATGCCCTCCGGATAAAGATGACTGGAGCACTTGATTAAATACAGTTATTTAAAAATAAATAAATAATTTGTTTAATAAATAAAGGGTGTTGCCCAGTTTCGTCGTGCACTCAACTGTGCTTTACTTATTGTAAAGCCATGCTTAACGAGATGGAAGCCCTCTTTCCCTGGGATCGGGAGCCTTTCTCCTCCACATCCTCCTTCGTGTGTAAATGTGTGGCACCAGCAGCGGGTGGGACTGAAGCTGGAAATGGAAGGGACCCCATCCCCAAAACGCCCCATGTATTCTTCTCTTCTTTTTTCTTCTCCTCTTCCTGCTACCTGCTCCAACGGGACATCCCCCCCCATGCAAATAGAGGCCCTGATCCAGATCAGGACCTGAGCTATGGTTGCAGTTTGCATCAGGGGGGAAAGATAGATCTTTTCCTAACACAGGTTGCCAAATGTTTCCGTCTCTTCATACACATGGGTATAAGATGACCAGCTTTGCAAATGGGAGTTTGGAGGGGGTAAAAACCATAGTTCATTTGCCCTTCCCTATGTTGTTATTGTTGTTTAGTCATTTAGTCGTGTCCAACTCTTTGTGACCCCATGGACCAGAGCACGCCAGGCCCTCCTGTCTTCCACTGCCTCCTGAAGTTGGGTCAAATTCATGTTGGTAGCTTCAATGATACTGTCCAGCCATCTCATCATCTGTCGTCCCCTTCTCCTCTTGCCACCAAACTTTCCTAACATCAAGGTCTTTTCCAAGGATTGTTCTCTTCTTATGAGATGGCCAAAGGATTGGATCCTCAGCTTCAGGATCTGTCCTTCCAGTGAGCACTCAGGGTTGATTTCCTTTAGAATGGATAGGTTTGATCTCCTTGCAGTCCAGGGGACTCTCAAGAGTCTCCTCCAGCACCACAATTCAAATGCATCAGTTCTTCAGTAGTCAGCCTTCTTTATGGTCCAGCTCTCACTTCCATACATCACTACAGGAAAAACCATAGCTTTATTCAGACTTATGTTGGCAAGGTGATGTCTCTGCTTTTTAAGATGCTGTCTAGGTTTATCATTGCTTTCCTCCCAAGAAGCAGGTGTCTTAATTTCGTGGCTGCTGTCACCATCTGCAGTGATCATGGAGCCCAAGAAAGCAAAATCTGTCACTACCTCCATATCGTCCCCTTCAGTTTCCCAGGAGGTGATGGGACCAGTGGCCATGATCTTGGGTTGTTGTTTTTTTATGTTGAGCTTCAGACCATTTTTTGCACTCTCCCCTTTCACCCTCATTAAGAGATTCTTTAATTCCTCTTCACTTTCTGCCATCAGAGTGGTATCATCTGCATACCTGAGGTTCTTGATATTTCTTCCGGCAATCTTGATTCCGGCTTGGGATTCCTCCAGTCCGGCTTTTCCCTATGTTGTCTTGTCCAATTGGATATACTGATTGTGGTGTATAACAGAGCTTTTCCGAGATATATGAAGCCAATCTGATCTGCTGCAATTGATAAATTTTCATAAACATTCCTGGGGCACCACATTCTGAACATAGCCGGAAATGTAGTGTTCATCTGGAAAGACCATTCGTGTTTGGTCCTGTTGTATTGTTCCCATAACATTGTTTAATATTGTAATAAATCAGTAGGTCCAAAGCTTTCACTTTCCCATGATTTGTCCCTTCGGGCCTCTGAATCTCGGCCAGGGAAAAAGTTAGCCTTGTCAATTAATAGGTTATCAGACTATTGCAATGTGGCGGAAGAAATAACAGTTGCCGTTATTCATTTTCAAACAGCAAGATGATGAATATGGAGAAGAGGATGATGCTGAAGTCCAGCAGGAATGTTTACACAAATTTTCCACCAGAGATTACATCATGGAACCCTCCATATTTAATACTTTAAAAAGGTGAGTGTAGGATAATGGATAGAAAACAGGGTGGGAGAAGTGATACCAGGCTGAAGCGCAGGACTGTTTCTCATGAGATCTGATACTCAGTGAGTGCTTAGGAGTTGGCTCAAATTAAAGTACATACATCTTTTCTCAGGTATTTCCAAGCAGGTGGCTCTCCAGAGAACGTGATTCAGCTCTTATCAGAGAATTATACTGCTGTGGCTCAAACAGTAAATTTGTTGGCCGAGTGGCTCATTCAAACAGGTATGTTTATCAGACTTTTTTGTGTGAGCTTCGTGCTTTTCAGCAGAACCTGTAATATAGCATTGGTCTTTTTCTTTGCTTATAAAGCATTATTAAAGGTTTTTCTCCCCTTGCAGTCTTCATTCCTTATCAATTGCTTAAAAATACTTTGCTTGCCTTTTTTGATACTTTGGGGGGGGGCGTTTGGGAGAAATCATCCTGTAATTCACAGTTGGCTGCTTCTTTGACAAACAAATTAACCAAATAGCTAACATTTTAAGAAGCATGAGAGCTGTAATACAAAATCAAATTACTGTGAAATGAATATTTTCAGATAGTGATTGTGTTGTGTTTAAAATTCGTAATGAATGTGTGTTATTATTTATTTATTTAAAATATTTATATGCTGCCTAAAGAATTCAAGGCAGTTTAGGGTATGTCATCTTACCCTAAGAGGTAATAATAAGAAATGTTAATAAACTACTCTTTGATACATGTGGATTCATATACCATACCTGATAACCTCGCTTATTATTACAGGTGTTGAGCCAATTCAAGTCCAGGAAACAGTAGAAAACCACTTAAAAAGTTTGCTCATTAAACACTTTGACCCTCGAAAAGCAGATTCCATTTTTACAGAGGAAGGAGAGGTAATAGACATTACTTAATAGTGCCAGATGTAATAAAGTAATATATTTTGCAAAACAATTGCAGATGGAGCTGTTCAAATATAACATTTCCTGGTGGAATGCATTTACTTTCAGTAACTCTAAGGCTGTTCTAAAGTCTCAGACTGATTTTCTTATTCTTTAGTCCATGTTATTTCTAGTGCTTTAATTTTTGACAGACTCCAGCATGGCTCGAACAAATGATAGCACATACTACATGGCGGGACCTCTTCTACAAGTTGGCTGAAGCTCATCCAGACTGCCTCATGCTGAATTTTACTGTCAAGGTAATTAATGCTCTCATTTCAGTCAACTGGAAAAATATGTCAAAGCCATACAATCAGGCCCTACCAGGGTCAGGAGTAAGTAGTTATGTGCAGCCGCTTGTTGTCTAAGAGGTCAGCAAGAATATAGAGAGTGTTTTCTCCTGTGTTCACATCACTCACCATATATGAGCAGAGACCATGGGTATCCTTCTTGGTCAAATCACACATGCTGTCGATTTAGCAACTCAGTCGCTAATGTGAAATACGTATATAGTACTTGTTTTTTACATGTATTAGGAAATTTTACATACATGAAGGAAGTTTGGGTTTCTTAAGATCCAAAGGTTTCGTGCAAATTAGTTGGACCAGAAGTATCAATCCTTGGTCTTCAACAAGTTCACGCATTAGAACAAACAAGGTTTGATGACTTCTTCATGAGGAGTGTGCAGATGCATGCTCCTCCTTCAAATAAAGGGCCAACAGTCTGGTTTCTTTGGTGTGACACCAAAAGGAGCTGGCATTCTGTCTTGTGCGAGGAACACACCAGAGCACTAACGCCTGCTGGTTTTGGACATCATGTTGGCTTACAGTTTGTTGAGTGAGCAAATGGCCAGCATGCACTAAGATAGTGATATTCACCGTGTGTGTTCACTTCTTCACAGAATTCTTCTGAGTGCTGCTTGAACATACCCATTATACTAGCCTGGAGGGGGAAGTGAATAAACTGGGAGGGGAAGTGAATAGACTGGGAGTAATACAGTCTATTCACTTCCCTTCCAATCTGTACCCATTTTAAAAATTTCTGCAAACCTTGGCATTTTTAGAGTTTTTTGTTAGTCTTCCTCAAGTAAAATGTAGTTGTGACTACCGTGTTTTCCCAATAATAAGACAGGGTCTTATATTAATTTTTGCTCCAAAAACACATTAGGGCTTATTTTCAGGGGATTTTTTTTCATGTACAACATTCTACATTTATTCATATACTGTACAGTCATGTCATATTTTTCTGGTTGCTGCACAATGGTGTAGGGCAGGGTTTCACTTAACTGGGGCTTATTTTTGGGGTAGGGCTTATATTACGAGCATCCTGAAAAATCATACTAGGGCTTATTTTCAGGTTAGGTCTTATTTTCAGGGAAAGAGGGTAGTAAACATTCTGGTGATTCTGAAGAGCATGAACTTCCCTTTATAGTTCTGTCACTGTCACAACTCCTGGTACTATTGTTTCAGCTTATCTCAGATGCTGGATACCAAGGGGAGATAACCAGCGTGTCTACAGCATGTCAGCAGTTAGAAGTCTTCTCTCGAGTATTGCGTACCTCTCTGGCTACTATCTTAGATGGTGGGGAAGAAAACCTGGAGAAGAATCTACCAGAGTTTGCTGTGAGTTCTGCCTTGTCTCATTTTCCATTAAGAACTCTTCTTTTTTTTAATCATGATGCACTTGGTGTTCCGAACACACTTGATATGGGAAGGGTGCAAGGGCCTGAGCGTGAACCATACATAGATGCTCTTATTGCCATTCAGATAGTTGTCAGGTATGTCAAAATTGCATGCCTGGAGCCCCATTTTCTCTGTTGACTCTGCATAAATAGTTCTGCATTCCTAGACAATGCCAGAGCCAATAACCACCTTCTCCTTTTTCTTCCCCCTTCCCCTGTTAACCACTATGCCACAACACTAAGAGAGCCTTTCTTCACTCTCATAGGTAAAGGTAAAGGTTCCCCTATGCCAGAGCCAATAACCACCTTCTCCTTTTTCTTCCCCCTTCCCCTATTAACCACTATGCCACAACACTAAAGAGAGCCTTTCTTCATTCTCATAAGCAATACACTAATTGCTTAATTATCACTTGGATTATTTCTATGGAACACCAAAGCACAGGTCATCAGACACGATAATGCTCCTTTTCTCCCCACCAGAGGTAGCTGATACTATATATTTCAATTGATTTACAGAAAATGGTGTGCCATGGTGAACACACATATCTCTTCGCTCAAGCTATAATGTCCATATTAGCTCAAGAAGAGCAAGGTGGCTCTGCTGTGCGCCGGATTGCTCAGGAGGTTCAGCGGTTTGCACATGAGAAGTAAGATCTTGCGGCATTTTAAAATTTTTGGTATGAATTTCATCTGTGCCTTTGCTTGTCTTTCGTTCTGAGTTTAACACAGTGCAAGTCCAGTGGGAAAGAAAGCATAGGTCATTATTCATTGTGTGGCACTCACTTTTGGGGACTAACCCGGAACCTGGCTTGAAAATAAATTAGCTGACTGAAGGGTGGCCAGATTTCAGCCACACAGATTTGCAATGATCTTCCGTAGCATTCTTGGTGAAAGGAATCCTTCTGATTTGAGTGTGTCATGGTGGAGGGTGGGTGTACAAAACCTTCGGCAACATGGAAATGTTCCCTTCCCCCCCCATCTCCCAGAATCCTGGAGGATTTGGGGAGCACAAGTTTAAAAATGTAATTTCCCCAGTCTCTGACCGAAAGGATTATAACGGTCTCTCATCCACAACCGAGGTTGCTTCCAAAGTAAAAGATCCCACGACGTCTCATAACAGTGTCCCCAAGCCAGTTTGCCCTTCCAGACTTAGCGGAGAATGAGCAGGGAACACACTACTGAATGCCATTATGGCAATGGTGATCTGGCCACCTCTGATCATTTTTCTGATCTGGCAAGAAATGATTTGATTTGGCAAGGGTGCAGATGGTTTCTTAGCAACCAACTCAAGAATCACTGTAAATTTCCCATTGACTAAAATATGGCAAAAAAAATCACATTGGTTACATGGATGTCAAATGGAATTTTAAAAAGCCAAGGCTCGATATCCTTCAGGCAATGTGGCAATTGGGAGAGATGTTCTTCCCTTGTATTTGAACGGTGAGGATACACAGAGGGATAGTTGTTCCACAGCTATAGAACTCTCTGCAGGTTAACGGTTCCTATTTCCTGAGCATTTTCCCAAACATAATTTTTAATCCGTTTCAGCTGCCAGTTAAGAACTGTGATTATGTAGAGAGGGAGCTTGATTTATTTTGATTCGTTTGATTTATTTTTGGTTTTCCGGCAGCTAATTTTATATCAGTTTAATTTTTAAACGCGGAGGTCAAAACTTAATTCAGGGGTTCCCAAACATCTTCCTTCCACTTAACGGCTCCCACGAGCCGTCCCAGAGCCTCCCTGGTGTAAAACTGGTGCCTCCTCTGCCTCTTCTTCTGTGTAGGTGGGCGTCCGGGAATGGGTGTGGCTCGCCCCAGGATCTGCAGCTGGGCCCAGGCAGGGTGTTAGAAATGATCCTGGCTGACTCACAGGGAGACCCGCCAGCCAAAGAGAGAGGCAGCGGCGGCAAAGCATCCCCTTGGCTGGGTTTGGCACTGTCCCGGGACACCGCAGTGCAAAGTTTGGGAACCATTGACCTAATGGAAAGCTATGATATGAATCTAATGTTTGAATTGTGTATTAATTTATAATGTGGTTGTCCAAATATAATTAATGCTAGTGGAACTCGAGAGTGCAAGGTGGCACAGATTAGATGCAAAATAGCCTCTTGATCCTACCTGATTTCAAGCCCATAGCGGGAAAACACTATTCTTCAGTCTTGTATGTTGATCCTTTTTCACTGCCGCTCTTTCAGAATCCAGCCCGTGTTTGTGTAAGTTGCTGCTGCTAATTGTGGCTTATTGACAAAATGCCCGGTTGTGCCTAGTCATCTACCTGATTGCGCAACTGAAATGTGCCCCGGTGCCTCCTCAATTGGCTGCAATCTCTTACGCAGACCTTTGCCAGAAACATCAACTGGTTTCTTCTGCCTAGTTTGTTTCTCTCCGGTTATTAGCACTAGAACACTTTTCATTCTGTAAATTGCCTGCCGCGACCCGTCTCTTTTCATTCATGATTTGATTTTATCAAGAGGCCATGACGCTAGTCAGATTACTTTAGCTCTGGGGACTGCTGCTTCGTACCCTCGCGCTTGCCAAGCCCTCGGTGCCATGTTATCGAAAGGAGCTCTGAACCCTGCAGATATCACCGTCCTTTTCAAAATGTTCACCAGCATGGATCCACCTCCCGTAGAACTGGTGAGTCAGTAGCAGCAGCCTACCATTTCTGCACCAAGAGCACAAGGAGTATCTTCTCCATGTCTGATGTTTATTTCCTGCTCTGGCCGTCTGATTGCTTTCAAAGGGGAAGACCCTCTTGTCTCCTAATCCTCCTCCACTGCCCTGTTACTTTATTCTTCATTGGTTTTACTAAGAAATAAAAATCCACCGAGTGTGTAGACAGCTTGTTGCTCCACTCCTTGAGTGGTCCTTAACCTGCCCATTTCTGCCACTCACTCTAAATTGTTCCGTGTGCTTCACCTAATGCTTACCACCTTAGCCCGACAGCAGCCCTGCCTGTTATTCCCAGGCAGCAGATAAGAGGCTGAGGCCAATGGCCAGTGGTTTGCCTAAGATGATCTGGGGAATTTGTGGCTGAAGCCGGGTTTGATCAGGTCCTCCAAGGCTGGAGTGAGTTCTTTTAATTGCAATGTGAACTTGTACTGACTCCAGAAAAATGCTGCAGATGATTCCTTGACTCATTCTCTGATTACCCCTCTCCCCAGATGTGTATGTTCTCTCAATCTTTTTAGTTAATCCATCCTTTAGATAGGCTCCTTAATGTTTTGAGATGGGTGTGAGGTGTTTAAAATTAGCTCTTTGGGTATTTTTTTTTTAAATCAAAGTGTTATTTTAACATCTGTAGTTCATTGTTCGAACGGCAAGCCTCTTACTAAGTCTGACCCATGACATTTGCCTTTCTTGGGAATAGAAACATGGTCACGATGCCCTTTCTGTGTTTAGTTGTTTCGTAAAGTGTGGTTTTGCAGACGCTGACTCATGTCATGGTTTCTCCCTGCAGATTAGAGTTCCAGCTTTCTTGGATCTCTTCATGTTGTCATTATTTAAGCCCGGCGCTAAGATTAATCAGGACCACAAGCATAAATATATCCATATTTTGGCCTACGCAGCTAGTGTTGTGGAAACATGGAAGAAGGTAAATTCTGTTGAGTGGTGTTCTGCTTCTTCTAAGTAAAAGCTGGTGTATCAAAATGGATTATGCTCTGCCATTTAGGATAAAATGTCAAATTTATGGCTGCAGTGGTGGGATCATAGGGTGAAATTCCATTGCCAAGTTATGCTTGCCTAAGGAAAATTGCACACATTATGCTGCTCATTAACAAGGCTTTAGTTGTGTTCCTAGGTATATACCTGCTTGTGCAATCGGGCATGTGCCCAGGAACACAACCAACACCTTGTTAATGAATAATTTGCCACGGTGACTTGCATAATTTCCCTTATGCAACTGTAAATTGGCAATAGGGCTCTGGCCCTTGAATTGTAGAGTTGAAAGGGATTCCAAAGACCAGCAAGAAACCCACAACTAGACCATCCCTGACAAATGGCCGTCTGACCTCTTTTTAAAAAGTTCCAACCAAGGAACTATGTGAAATAATCCTTTCTCCTGTTGAACCGCTGTTGCTTTGAGGATGTTCTTCCTAATATTTAGTCCCAAACCCCTTGGTTTGACATTAACTTCCTTTCTTAACAAAATTTAAAGGTGGGGGAAGGAACCCAAAAACATTTCTTTTTTGTGTAATAAATGAAAGAGTTTGTCTTTGTTTAAAAAAAAACTTTAGATTTTTACGGAGCATTTTCCGCTCTCAGGAAACTTGGGTTCTATATCCTAATTTCTAAAGCTCTCTGGAATTGATGAGGTCAGATCTTTGGCAATCTTTTCCTATACTCAAAACCCTGGTGGAGGGAAAATGGGTAGCTGAAAGGAAAAAGGGGAAATGTAGCTTTGGGGCTGTTGTTGAACTCCAGTTTCCATCACCTTGAGAAATTATGAGCTGCAGTCCAGCATCTGAAAGGAAGCACGTTCCCATTCAAATTGTCTCTTGATGGATGCCCGTGTGTTCCTTTCTTGTTCGTAGTTAGGAGCAAAGTTCAGAAATGATACTTTTTGGATTGTAGCTCCTAGAATCCATTAGAGAATCATAGAGTTGGAAGGGGCCTCTAAGGCCATTGAGTCCATCTCCCCTTGCTCCATACAGGAATCCAAATCAAAGCAGATCTGACCCCCTTGCTCCATACAGGAATCAAATCAAAGCAGATCTGATGCATGGTTGTCCAATTTTACTGGAGTGCTCGCCACCTCCCACGGTAATTGGTTCCATTCTGTTGATGGCCATACTGGCTGAGAGATTCTGGCGGTTGTAATAAAACACACACACATATACTTTTGTAGGCTCTGGGCTCAGGAGAACTCTCTCACTGGTTATTGTGGTTAATCGCTGATCATTTCAGTCTGGTCTTCTCAGTGTACCATGTTTGAAGAAAGGAATTTTGCACTTGGGGTCAAATGGGTAATACATAGCTCTGCATGGTATTGAGTGCGTTCACTGTGCCTGTGGAATGTGAAACGCATGAAGATAACGATAAAAAAGGTTCGCTTTTCAGAAGGGTTGACAAAATACAGAGTGTCGTCAGCTCCAGTTCTGAACTCCGAGCACTCATCGCTGTCTTTGTCTCTGAAATCATATTTTATCACATATTTTAGAACAAGAGAGTGAGCATAAATAAAGATGAGCTCAAGTCTACTTCAAAAGCAATTGAAACTGTTCACAATCTCTGCTGCAACGAGAATAAAGGAGCTTCTGAACTTGTAGCAGAACTGAGTACCCTCTACCAGTGCATCAGGTAAGTATCCCCTTTTAAGGACACTTTGAACTTGTTTGCTTAAAATGAACTTTGCATTAAAGAGTTTTAAGGATATACATTTGGGGAAGCATATCTGGAAGTTGAGTCATGGCAACTGGACTTCTTTCTTGTTAGGTTGAAACATTTTGCTACTCATCCAAGTAGCTTCTTCAGTCTGTGCAGAGTTGTTAGGAGATCCCTGATATATCCTTCCTGTCGGTTTCACTTCCCCCTGGTCTGAATAGTGTTGTTAGAAGGACAAAAGACTGGAGGTGAGGCAGAGTTGTTAGGAGATCCCTGATATATCCTTCCTGTCGGTTTCACTTCCCCCTAGTCTGAATAGTGTTGTTAGAAGGACAAAGGACTGGAGGTGAGGGATAATTTCACTTCTGCAGTCCTTCTCCACCCATTGTCATGGGTCGTTCTGCATCTTAGGTTGAACTGCAAGTGGTTCCTGTATTTGCCACTTTTCTTGCTGTCCTTTCATATTCTCACACCAGCTTCAGGGTATCTGCCCCAAAATGTATAGCAAGATATCTGAAGATTCTCAGTCATCAAGGTGTGGCTATCTGGAATATGAATCATGGCAATTAGACTTCTTTCTTATTAGGTTGAAATATTTCGCTACTCATCCCAATAGCTTCTTCAGTCTGAGGAGAGCTGGTAGGAGATCAGGTTGAAACATTTTACTGCTCATCCCAATAGCTTCATCAGTTTGAGGAGAGCTGGTAGGAGATCCCTGATACATCCTTCACGTTGTTTTCACTTCCCCCTGGTCTGAAAAGGCCCCTTGGAAGAGATGCAGAATGACCCATGACAATGGGTGCAGAAGGCCTGCAGAAGTGGGATTATCCCTCACTCCCAGTCCTTTGTCCGGTTAATGTAATTTTCAGTTTACGAACTGAAATCCATTGAAAACAATGCCTCGGTTTACCTTTCCCCCCCTTTTTTTCCGATTCACGAAGAAAGTTTCCCCAGGATGCATTGTGCCTGGAGGTTTGTAGTGCCACACTTGTTCATATGGCAATCTACATTTCAGTTTACGAAATTTCCGCAGGCAGGGTGTTAGAAATTTCCGCATTACGTAACGTTCCAGACGAACTGAAATCCATTGAAAACAATGCCTCGGTTTACCTTTCCCCCCCTTTTTTTCCGATTCACGAAGAAAGTTTCCCCAGGATGCATTGTGCCTGGAGGTTTGTAGTGCCACACTTGTTCATATGGCAATCTACATTTCAGTTTACGAAATTTCCGCAGGCAGGGTGTTAGAAATTTCCGCATTACGTAACGTTCCAGAGAACGCATTAACTTGTTCATATGGCAATCCACGTTTCGGTTTACGAAATTTCTGCATTACGTAACATTCCAGAGAACGCATTAATTTCATAAACCGAGGTACGACTGTATCTTGGGGAAGCATGCTATTGCCTTCTGTCTGTTTAAGACCCGCATGTGCAAGTGGGGGAAAGGGCCGAGAACACTCCTCTGGCACAACAGTTATACCTCGCACTTGATAATAGGATTCTACCCAGTTTTTTTTTCTTGATAGCAAAAAATCTTCAGTGCTGTTTCCTTCTTCCATTGATAGCTGAATTGAAACACTCCATGCAGACAGGTGGGAAGTATCCCAGAGTCGCGTGCCCCATATAGTTAGTTCATTTATGGCTGTACTCTTTATCCTCTCATTTTATGGACAGCCCCTTGTCAGTTTATTGAGACAAATATTTCAGGTATACTCTCTGAGGAACTTTGCCTTTTTTAAAGGGGTTAGTCTAATCCACTTCTTAAAAGTTTTCTAAAGTTGGCTGCTAGCTTGACATTGCAAGAGAAAAAGTACAGTTGTTAATTTGATAAAGGGGAGGCTCAGTAGACATTCAGATCTGGAAACGTCAACATAATGCTAAGTTAAAATATTATGATCTCGGTTCTTCCGCGTAGATGTCTAAATGCTGTGCATTTATCATGGCTTCCTTCCCTCTAGGTTTCCAGTAGTAGCAATGGGGGTATTGAAATGGGTCGACTGGACCGTGTCTGAGCCCCGGTATTTCCAGCTTCAGACTGATCACACTCCAGTGCACTTGGCCTTATTGGATGAGGTGAGACAAAGGCTCTGCATTTGGGACAGCGTTAAGATCCAGATTCATCTCAGTGCAGAAAGACATGTTAAATAAGTGGTTCATGTTTTTCATTAAGCTGAGGAGAGAACAGTAGCAAGGAACTGCTGGATGGCTCAGTGGTTTAGGTATCTGGCTGTGCAGCCACAGATTTGGGAGTTTGATTCCGCATTGTGGCTCCTTGAGAGGGGCTGGACTCTCAGTGGTCTGTAGTGTCTCTTCTAGCTCAGCGGTTCTAAGATGATTCTAAGATTATTAACTATGGGAGGCATCTAAGCTTATACAGTGGAATTCTCACTCAGATTATCTCTGGATTTGGAAAGTTTCGCAGGTATTATACATACTTGCTGCCAACCATGTGGAAAAGAACCATATGTGTGTTCCATGTCTTTAATGAAAGCTGAGATCTAGAAGATGCTAAATTCTGGAGCCAATCTGAGGTCCTGCATTTGTGTGATGGTTCTGTGGAATTTGGCAATCTATATAGCCTTTTCTACCCCAGAAGAAGGGAATGGTAAACCGCTTCTGAGTATTCTCTACTTGGAAAACCCTAAAAAGGGTTTCCATAAGTCAGAATTGACTTGATGGCTGATGATGGCCATTTGCTAAGATACAGGAAAAGGTTAAGGTGTTAGTTTGAAAACCACACATGAGGCTTGCCTCTATGCAGGCAATTCACGCCCTTCGTCAAGTGTTGGAACTGGGTGGTCCTCAAAGTGCGTTTCTTCTTTCTACTCTGTCTTCATTGATTTATTTTGTTAGCAGAGAGTTATCCTAAGTTAGGGCTTGAAACCCACTGAACAACTAAACGAAATGAACGAGGGCTTGAAAGTTGTACATTGTGCATTTAAAGTTCAACGTGCCCGTCCTATCATTTCTTCTTCCTGTTCTTTTCTTCCATCAGTAGACCTGACCTTTGTATTAAGAATTCCAGGCTGAATATTTTGCCCAAAGGGAAAATTCTTGGTTGTAATCAAGTTGGTCAGGTTTTGAGCACAGGAATGACTGGCAGTGACACACTTTCTACATTTTGAAGATACCCGCCTCACAGCGGTTGTTTCTTGGCCAAGTTGATATGTCAGTAGTAGAGGTGGGCACGAACTGGTTCGTCCCAGTGAATAAAGGCAGCAGCTCAGGTGCATCTGTTTCCGTTCCCCCCCCCCCGCCTCCTCTGGCTCGAACAGCCACCCCCCAGGCTTGCTTATTTTTTCCATCTCCTCAACTGATCTTCCAGTCATGCTTCTCTTTCCTGCCCTCTCGCCTGACCTGCCACTCAGGCAAAAGGGTAGGCCGAGGAGGTGGAAAAAGCAAGCAAGTTGGGCCTGGTGACTGACTGATCAGCTGAGGAGGTAGGGGAGGGAAGCAGCAGCACCTGTATTGCTGCCTTTACGAACCAGGACGAACTGGTTCATGTCCATCTCTAGTCTATATATCTGTGAAATAACATACTTTGTGTTTGGTTTCCAGATTAGTACTTGCCATCAACTGCTTCATCCTCTTGTCCTCCAGCTTCTTGTCAAACTTTTTGAGACAGAACACTCTCAGTTGGATGTCATGGAACAGGTGATGAAAATCATGCTTTTCTCTTTTGACCAGGCTGATGTTCTCTCTTTTTCTTCCCTGGCATTCTTCTTTTGCATTGCCAAATTTCATATTGAGCTTCCCCCACCCCAAATAAACCCCAGCAGTTGTGGATTTGTGAAGCTGCTCACTCTTAAGAGTTACAGTTCCAAATGCTATTGGATTGCAACTCCTATCACTCACAGTTGGCCATACTGGCTGGGGCTGATGGGCATTGTAGTCATGCAACATGTGGAAGGCCACTGGTTCCCTTTCCCTGGGCTAGAAGGAGACATGAGTTCTATTTAGGTATTCTTGAACATGTTGAGTCAATGTTGGTGGAGTGGACTGCACTATAACCCCATCACTCTCTTATCATTGCTTTTCTTGGATGAAACGGGATGCTCTGAAGAGCAGAGCCACCTTCTGTCCACAGAGGCTCTCCACACGAGCCAGAATGCAGAGAAACCAATGTTCCTGTTTACCTGTTAGCTACGAAAGCTTCCACAAGTGAAGGAGTGTCCTTTCTGCAGATTTAAAATACTTTTTAATGTGAGCTTTTGCGGGCAAGTCCTCCTAAGAGCTGGCAAATCTGCAGTGAAGGTCTCCTTGAGTGTTAAGGAACCACACTTGAGAACATCTTACTGCTTAAGCAGCTAGTGAAAAATAAGATACAGTGGGCCCTCGACTTACGAACTTAATCCGTTCTGGAAGGATGTTGGTACCTCGGAAAGTTCGTAAGTTGAAGTACCATTTCCTATTGAAATGCATGGGAACGGAATTAATCCGTTCCAGCATTTCAAAAAAAAAATACAAAAATAAAAATAAAAAGAGCAAGTCCCACATTGGGACTGCAAATTGCACGCACACACACACAAACCCACAGAAACATAACCCCCCCAGTCCAAACCCACCCTCCAAAACCCACACAGAAAAGTTTTTTTTTTTAAAAAAAGGACTTACCAGTCCACTGCCTCCGTGCGGCCGGGGGCGAGCGGTCTGGCGCCCGGCCAGCTCTAGCCTCCCGGCTCTGCTGCCTCCGGTGCCTTTGGAGCTTTCTGTACGCACATACACACAAACCCACAGAAACATAACCCCCCCAGTCCAAACCCACCCTCCAAAACCCACACAGAAAAGTTTTTTTTTTTAAAAAAAGGACTTACCAGTCCACTGCCTCCGTGCGGCCGGGGGCGAGCGGTCTGGCGCCCGGCCAGCTCTAGCCTCCCGGCTCTGCTGCCTCCGGTGCCTTTGGAGCTTTCAAAGGGCTTCCTCCGATGTTGGGAAAAGCCCTTTGAAACCTCTGAAGGCACCGATCGCGGTGGTGAGGACCCCCAGGGAGGTCTGCCATGGCGGCGTGCAAGCCCTGGGAGACCTCCCTGGGGGTCCCCGCTGCCGCGATGGGCGGCTTCGGAGCTCTCTGAAGCCAAAAAGGCAGGGAGAAAGGGTGGGAAGTTCGAACTCCCTGCCTTTTTGGCTTCGGAAGCAAGCCGGGCTGCCGGGGAGAAATCAGCTCCCTCCTTTCACCCGATGCTGAAATGTTCGTAACTAGGGCCATTTGTGAGTCAAGGCCCACTATGTGAACTGCTTATAGACATAGAATCCTGCTGCCTTCTGAGATCCTGGTGCTTGGAACAAAAGGAATGAATATTGCAGTCCATTGCTGGGAAGGTTCTCATGAAAGAAAAGGGAGATCCCAAATTACAGTAACTTGCCCAGAGTAATTAGAAGAATGCATTGCACAACCACTAGCTGGTTGATACCATGAAAGGGCAACAGGAGCTGGAAGCTTCTTCACTTGTGGAGCCTCTTTCAAGGGGTGCTGTTAAGAATCAGACCAGAGAGAGCAGGTTGAATTAGACGGATCTTCTTCTCATTCAAATAAAGCAGTTCTTTTCTAATGTGATCCTGGCATCCTTTATGAGGAAATTAAGAGATTCCTGGTGGCATCCCTGCCCTGATGCGTCAGTTGGACTGAAGGACAGATAACACCATTTAGTAAACGGAAGCATCAAACATGTTACTGTCATTTCTGTCATTTCAGCTGGAACTGAAGAAGACCCTTTTGGACAGGATGGTGCACTTGCTAAGCCGAGGATACGTTCTTCCAGTGGTCGGCTATATCCGCAAGTGCCTTGAAAAGCTGGACACGGACATTTCTCTCATCCGATACTTTGTGACTGAGGTCAGTGACTGCCCAGACGTGCGACATCTAAGAGAAGCTGCCTTTCTGCAAATCTGCTTGCAGAAATCTGCTCATTATTCTTTTTCTACGTGAAAATCTTACCTATCTGTAATGAAGATTTTCTGCCCATCAGTAAAAGAATGGCTTCTTCTGTGGGTGTGTAAGCACCAGAACGAATGCCTTTCCCTCGCCAGTTAAAAACTGAGGTTCAGAAGGCATCTTTGAATGAATCCACGTTGGGCACCATTTTGGGCTTGGCCATGTTGGCTCCAATGTTTTTACGTGTTATTTCATGGGAGGGTGCCACCGCTGCTTATCTCCACATTGTGCATAATATTCACGCATAGAGAACACTGTGTGTCTCACCATGCTCTGTCTCGGGCTTCATCATCCTCTTACACATGGAGGAGGAGAAGCCGCAAGAGCTCTTAATTTGGGACCCTAATGTTCATGGGTCCCAATTCGTTTTCCAAGCCCCCCTGGGTAGTGGAGGCTGCTTTTCAGACATTCTTCTTATGGAGGGCAACAGTGAAACCGGGGATGGAGGGAGAGGAGCTGACATGCCACTGTCAATCTGGGAACATTCTACACACTTTCTGATACCTGAATGGGGCTTCTGTCTAGCTAGACACACCATCTCTAGACAGAAGTACAGTGGTGCCTCGCATCACGACGTTAATTCGTTCCAGCGAAATCGCTGTACAACGAAAACAATGCGATTTTAAAAAGCCCATCGAAACGCATTAAAACCAGATTGTGTTCCTAGGGGCTTCAAACTCACCGTCCTGCGAAGATCCTCCATAGCGCGGCCATTTTCGCTGCCTGTGCAGCGAGAAATCCATGCGAAAACATAGCAGGCGGCCATTTGGTTTACCCGGTGGCCATTTTGAAACTGCAAATCAGCTGTTAAAAAATCATCAATTTGTGATGATCGTTCTCGAAGCAGGGAACCGATCATCGCAAAGCGAAATTCCCCCATAGGGAACATCGTTTTGCGATCGCAAAAACATCGTCAAGCAATTTTGTCGTCAAACGGAGCGCCCGTCTTGCGGGGCACCACTGTACTAAAAAGTATGTGTGTCTGCTTTGGTTAAGTGATAGGCATCTCAAGGTGGAGGGGGATGCTCTGGCCAATGGCTTTATGATTCAGTGTGAAATCCTAACAACCGAGCCTTTTTGCTATCTTACATCTCAGGTGTTGGATGTGATCGCTCCTCCATACACCTCGGACTTCGTGCAGCTTTTTCTTCCTATCTTAGAAAATGACAGCATTGCCGGCACCATAAAGGCTGAAGGCGAGCATGATCCTGTCACAGAGTTTATAGGTAATATCTGGTCCTTCACCAGTGTTGTGCTTTGAATTTTCACTCAGTCTGTTCAGTCACTGCCAGGCCTAAAAAGTTGCTTTAATTAAGGCCTCTGAACACAACATAGGTAAAACTAAACTAACCTGCCTTTCTTCGGTTTTGGCATAGACAGAAGGGTTCATAAATGGTAGAGAGCATACACCAGCGCCTGAAACATACTAAATTATTCCAAAGCACGGGCAAAGAGTCTGTGGCCTGAAACAATTCCTTTCCCTCTCTCAGCTGTCATGCAAAGTCATACGTAAGCTAGCAGTTTACTATTCAGGAGCTGAAGAAACAGAATGGCTCTTGGTATTTTAAAAACCAGTGTTTTGTGAGATAAGGACTGGTAGGTGAAAACCAACCTCACCACTGTATGTAACAAGCAGTGGAGATGCTGTATGTAGATATGCTTGAGAATGGGCGTGTTTGATTATTTTTTCAAAGTGAGATTAAAATATGAATAAGCACAGATGGTCAGCTGCTTTTTGTTTTGGAGCAGCTGGTTGAGATCAATCCAATTTAGTCACTCTGGTTATATACTGGACCAACCATCATCTTGTGTTTCTTTTTGTTAAAGCTCATTGCAAATCGAATTTCATCGTGGTCAACTGAACAAAAGGAAAAAGGCCACCTGCTGATGCCATGGATTATGTGCTGCAGTACAGGATAATGCAGACGCCAACGACAGAAAAAAAACTGGTGTGCTGGTTGGCACTTTAGGTGAACTGAAAATGTCACCCTGGTACACTTCAAAACTTAATGTCACTTCTCTAGGATGCAGTTGTTATTCTCGTGACCAATTGAATTCTTTTGATTGCCAGCCCCATAGCCTGAGTACACTTGAGGAGCAGAACAAAGGCCATTTGTTTGTGCTGTTTGTTTGATAGACTACAATGGAACTGGTGGCAGCAATATTTCCTTAATGAATTTGCTATTTCCATGTACGATTGCTTTCAGGATGTAGGGAAGATTTGGTGTTGTTTCCCAACAGAGAGAGTTCTCTGCATCACCACCACCTTACAAAAACAAGTAATGTTTGCATGGCACATATGTGTTGTTTCATAATAAGCCTCTGTAAACATCAATGTGGTGCAGCTGACAATTTGATTTGCACCTCCCTAAATCTATAAATGTCTTTATGTTAAATGTGCTAGTGCTACGGTCCCCAACCTTTTTCGGACGGCAGATCGATTGGGGGGCGGGGGCATCCCCGCGCTCATGGATAGGCGTGTCATGCTTTGCGGAGGGGCGTGTCATGTGTGCATGCGCACAAGCGTGACACACCCACCCGCAAGCGCGACACGCCCACCATGTGTGCGTGCGGGGTGCCGGAGATCCATGTCCTTGGCCCAGTTCAAGGAAGCCCACGGACCGGCACCCCTGTGCTAGTGGAAATGACGTCAACTATCATCCAGTTAATGACTGTCACCTGTGAATCACTCATTAGTTTTCATTTGCTAAGTGATTACATTTCCCACTGTATTCCAGAATATGGTTGTGACCCCACCTTTCCTAACAATGTCTACAGAAATTACAAAGAAAAAGAAAGCTGTGTAATTTTAAATAAATTATCACTTGGATAAAAATGTTGCTTGATTTTGTTAAAGAGTTTTAGTTGAAAACTAGATAATGAATCAGAAAAATATGTCATGTCGATATCCATGTATTTGTCATTTAGTATAGAAAACATTGCTTGAGATTAATGTGGAGCAGAGTCGTCTTTTACCTCCCATGATAAATAGCAGCAGGAGAATCTGTGGCTCTGCCGAAGTTGTTGGAGGCTGACCCTCCCATCAGTTCTGACCATGTTGGTGGGAACGCAGGAGAGATGTCTTGAGGGCAGTATATGTCCATCCCCAAAATGTTTAGAAACAGTGATAGTTTATTTATAAATGAATCCAAAAATTTAGACACTCTGGTGGTCGTGTTTGCAAGAATGAATTGAAGATTGTTAAGCCAATAGTCTTCCCTATCTCCTGCTAGCTTTTATTTGCTGTCTTTCGTACCTCCTGCTAAGCTTTTATTTGCTGTAACACAACTGCACTGTTTCATGAGTCAACCTCTGATTGGAGAGATCTTCCCCATTACAAAGTCCTCCAGCCCTACCTTTATTCTTCCTTGGATTAGTTTCTGTTACAATTCTGGAAAACAGGAGCACTCAGAGATCCAGAACAAAAGGAGAAACATCACAGAGCCATAACCCCCCCAGCTACAATCTCACAAGGAATGCTGGACCACTGCTGGGTTGTAGGACAAATGGCCATGGCCGGTTTAGGCTGGGTTGGTTGCTGGAGTTTTTGCAAGCAGATAGCTTCTGATCTCGCTTGTGAGGAAGGAAGACTCCAGAGTGTAGGAGTCACATAAAAGTAGCCACAGCCCTGCACTGAGCTGTTTTAAGAGCCACACCTGGAGCTACGACAGTGCTGATGAAACGATCTAGTTAAATAGGAGATGGCACTGCTTACGGCAGTTTTAGGTGTAGTTGGCCAAATGAGACCTTGACATCGTGTGCTTGGGATTCTCCATGCCAGCGCTGGTGCCTTTTTTGAAACAAAGGAAAATCCTTGCTAACAAAAAGTGCTTTTAAGGGGCTGCTTTCCAATTAGGACATGGTGCGAAGGGAGGGGTTAGTGTGTTACTGTTGGCCATTTCGCCAGCAAAAATTCTCCCCCACTCCCATGTTTACAAAGCACCTTTTTGTGGCAACTCCCTGCACCTACGTGCTATTCAGCAGGGAGAATTATAATGCAGGAGAGAAATTGGAAATCCTGGTCATGCATGTCTGAGTTTCGGAGAACAGCCTGTTTTAATATATCAGTTAAACTTATTAAAAGCTGCCCAGTCCTCTTTCCCCTGCCACTGTTTGTACCAGTTTTGGACACTTGTCATCAAGCTGCCACATAAATACCACTAGAGGTGTACTCTTAATTTCTTAATTCTTTTTGGATTCCAACTCCCAGAATTCTTCAGCAATTCCCCAGACAGGATTTTTGGGCATTAATGTTTTAATTGTTTTAAGAAATATTTTAATATATGGTATTTTATACTGTTTCTTAAAATGTTTTTAATGTTTTTAGGTTTTAATGTTGTACGCCGCCCAGAAGCCATTGGCAATGGTGCGGCTATATTTATGGAGTGGTTTTGCCAACTCCGTGGCAGAGCTGGGCCATTACGCGCATGTCTCTTTGAGCCCTTGGTCCATTACTCTCCACTGCACTACACTGGGTACCTCCTGCCATTAAATGTAACTGATGGGAAATGGGGTGCAACCACATCTCAAGAGTCACATTGCCCATCAGTGGCCCCATCAAGTTGTTTTCTATTGCTTCATATTGTTAAGTCAGAACTGCCTTATAATGACCCTAGTAGTGTTTTTAAGGTAAGTGGGGTATTTATGGAGTAGTTTTGGCAACTCCGTGGCAGAGCTGGGCCATTTACGCACATGTCTCTTTGAGCCCTTGGTCCATTACTCTCCACTGCACTACACTGGGTACCTCCTGCCATTAAATGTAACTGATGGGAAATGGGGTGCAACCACATCTCAAGAGTCAAAGGTTCCCTAGCTCTAACCTGCAACATGTTTTCTTCGGATACTGCTGCACCTGGTAGGCTACAGGATCCTGTGAGGTGGCCGATGGTCACAGGATCAGAGCTCTTAACTTTTATTGCACCAGTCACTCGACTGAAGAATCTGGGTCCAACCCCACCAGAAAGAAAAAGTTGACCTCCACTGCGCTACACTGGGTACCTCCTGCCATTAAATGTAACTGATGGGAAATGGGGTGCAACCACATCTCAAGAATCAAAAGGTTCCCCAGCTCTAACCAACATGTTTTCTTCAGATGCTGCTGCACCTGATAGGCTACAGGATCCTGTGAGGTGGCTGATGGTCACAGGATCAGAGCTCTTAACTTTTATTGCACCAGTCACTCGACTGAAGAATCTGGGTCCAACCCCACCAGAAAGAAAAAGTTGACCACTTTTAAGAAGTTAATGCTTATAAGCACAGTATGTAAGTAAATTTATTATTTATACCAAGTCAGCTGTAAAGCAGACATGGGTCATAGGAAAAAGACTGCATGTCCAAAGCTAATGGGGATTAAGAGTGAATTCTTAGTGACTCAGGGGGAAAAAACTGTTTCTGATTTATACTACTATTATTTCTCACCAGTGAGTCTCATCACTGGTCGAGACCAGGTTCACGGAGAGCTAAAAAGAGTGAAGGGCAGGAGTCTCAATTTAACTTTTGTGAATTTCTGCCAGCCCGCAAAAACATGAATAGCACGTCTCCACAATGCTGTAAGATTCATCTAGTCTCATCATCATTTTAATTTTCACAAAATTTATTCAGTGTAAAAATGTCAAGAGCAAATTTCCATCCAGAAAAAAGGCAGCAATAACATCACCATGCTGGTAAAGTTTTCTCAGAGTTACACAACCAAGGTTCAGCCTGTCATCTTCACTCAGCACACAGAGCAATGTATTTAGTACAATTTCAGACTTAAAAGTTCAATTTCAAGTCATTCTGGAGCTCTGCTCCTAAGAAGTACAAACTTTATCAAAAATTTAAAAAGCCCTCTCCGCTCTTGTAAACTACAAAATAATTTATCATCATTAACTGAGTTCCATAAGAAAATCTTTTTTAAAATGTGTGTTCTCTTGTCCTGCAACCAATAGATGCAATTCATTTGGATATGTATATACAGTACTCCATAGGAAAGACCGAAGGATCAGTTGAATTATTGTTCCATAAGTCCCTGATTAACAGATGCAGCATAAAATCAATGCATCCCCTTGAAAATAGGAAGTTAAGTAGCTGGAATAGTCTTTTTTCCCCCAAACAGAAGCCAGTGCAGACTCAAGAAACAATGGGGTCCCCATAAGTACACTGATCTTCAATAGCAAGATTGTAGTCCTTTCCTTTTCCCCCTTTGTAAGTGCTGGTCACAATCCTAAGCCAACCTCGCTCACCCTGCAAAAGAGAGAATTTGCCTTGGTTATGCAGGATGAAAGAATGTAAGTTCAATCACTTTTGTCTCTTAAACTCAGCGTGGAAAATGTTTACTATCTAAACTGGTGGGGATGGGGGGGAGGAAGAATGCCACAAGAACAGCGAGCCTACTGTCTCTTGCAGTCTATGATGCAAGGGTCATCCAATACTGCATGCACAACAGTTCATATTCAATGCCCAGCTTTTACAAGGGGAGCCAAGAAAGATGGGTACCTGCAACCGGACTGCCATGCAATGTGTACCTCAGCCTTCTTTACAATCTTGTGATCTCCGCATGTTTTGGTCTATCAAAGCTTTTGCCTCCCCAAACACTGGCCCTCACTGGCCAGAGGTGTTGAACACTTAAGCCTAAAACATCTGCAGGGCACCAGGCTGGAACAGATAGTACAGTCGTGCCCCACTGTACGATTACCCCATTTAACGAATCCACTTAACGTTGACGTTTTTGCAATTGCAAAACGATGGTTTAAATGGGGTTTTTTCGCTGTGCGATGATCGGTTCCCTGCTTCGGGATTTTTCGCACTGCAGGCACCGAAAATGGCCGCCCCATGGAGGATCTTCCCTGGACAAGCAGGTATTCAGCCCATTGGAATGCATTGAGTGGTTTTCAATGTTTTTTTTTTATTTCATTTGACAACATTTTCGCTCTACAGCGATTTCGCTGGAATGAATTAACGTCGTCAAACGAGGCACCACTGTACTAAACTCCATGGATAAGGGGTAAGATTCAAGGCAAGGCAGCAGCTAATGCTACACAAGAAACCATCGAGGTTCATTTCCCCTTGCAATCCTCCTTCATAATCTTGTGCTCCTTCAGTATTTAAATGTCTTCCCCAAGCCTCCCACCTTTAGATTATTTTAGACCACTCTTCCTCCATACTCATTCTCTTTGTTACTTTCACATCAGTCCTACGTACAGTGCTGGGGGGGGGGGGGGCCACTTATTCTCTTTGTTACTTTCACAGCAGTCCTACGTACAGTGCTGGGTGTGTGTGTGGTGTGTCACAGATCCATGACACAGCCCAGTGGTCAGGGCGGTAGGCAGAGGGCAGCTTTTCCCACTGTTTATGCTGGTCTTCCATTTATTTTTATTGTTCTTTCTCAATGGCTGCAGTGAGACAGAGTTGAACCACCTCTGAGATAATTGGAGGCATGCGAAGGAAACAAGGAGGCTTTGGAAGCTGTGGTTCCAAGCCTCCCTCTGACATGGAACAACCCAGCTGGTCCCCTGATCACTCCCACGAACGTGACCAGTGGGCATATCAAGGGCGTTTCCAGAATGCAAGCCACCGGTAAAACCCTCCTAGGGCCCATCAGGCAACCTTCTGGGTGAGGAGACTAAAGATTTTGGTCTTCAGAACCAGCTTCCACACTTTACAATATGTACTTCACCATCTACAGACAAAAGAAAAGCCACTATCCTGTTCCATAGGCTTGCCTGCACAGTGGGCGTGATGTCACACCCACAGCGGTCTGTTGCTAATTAAAGAGTTCCTTTTTCCAATGCTGGTGATGAGCATATGGCTCCCGCATAGCGATAGGAAGTTGAGTGCATTCTGAAATTATAATTTTAAAAACAGGAACTCTTAATTAGCAGCAACTTGCCATGGCTAGCAACGTCACAACTGCTGCATGGGCGCAGTTGCACAACAGCATACTTGCCAGAAAGATTGGGGGGAAAGTACTCATGTTCATCTCTGTCTCCTGCTTACCCATGGTTCACCCCAGGAGTTCCGAACGATCCAGTACTCGTTCCCGTCTTCTACTCCCCAGCCAGCGACGGAGACTATGTGGTTCACGGCTGGAGAAGGGTTGTATTCTGCATAAAGTCCTCCGGTGTATTCATCCAGCTTTGGAGTGGCCATGATCCCGCAACTGTTTAAATGAAATTATAACTCATTAAAAATGCTAACAGAAACCAAAAGCTTTCAATATTCACACCAGGTAAAATCACAAGGATCAAGAATTCTCTGAAATGTTTCAAGTTTCAAAGGTGGGAAAATGCATAATGGTGCACAGTATGAGAACATACCAGTAGAGAACATATGAGAACATATCACTAGGAAACCAACTGGTTCTCCCACAGAACTATACTTTTCTATTCAGTACTGATAGGAATAGGAAATATTTCCAGATCATGAAACACCTGCAGCCAATCAGACGAGAGTCAGAAATATAGACAGCAGAGTCTGACAGCTTAACTGCCACATAGGGCTGAGTTCGGAAAGCAGACAGTTAGGTTTCAGTTTAGGTCAAGCAGAGCTGATTGCTGCATTTTCCACAGGCTGAGAAAAAGCAGGTGCTAAGGGTAGTTTTGAATTGTTAATAAAAGCTGACTGCCTTTTTAGATGGGACTAACTTTTCAAAGTGAGCAGTGGGGTCTTTGAAGTCCTGTGTGAAATTAATGTACACTGAATCAGAAAACTGATTATAATATACATACAGTTCCTTCGACAGAATAATTACCAAGCTTCATAGTTCATTGGGAATTTAAACAATAAGCTACAGGTTCAGTTCCTTACTCTGTCCAACTATGACAGGGATGAGTGAATTACAGGGACCCTGTCAACATGAAAGACCAAAGGCTTTCTATCCCCCACCCCTTTGCTAAAGGAGCAAATGCGGTGGAAAATTTCCATGGAAGCTCAGAGAAGATCTATGAGGCCAGATCTCCCCTCTCCAAAGTCAGACTTCAGCAACTGCAGCCTTTGTCATTTTGAATTTTTTAAATGTATTTATTTGTTTTGATTTTTTTTTAATCGCTAGATCTTGCAGACAGTTGTGTGAATTTGGAAGTGTTTGTGTTTTTAAATTTTGCATTTTTAAAATGGTGTACACAAGCTTTAGTGGCCTTGAGGGCCAAACTTGTAGCAGGTCTGGAAATGGCTGGTGTTTGACTATGTGAGGGGAAGCGAACAGAAAGTACGCAAGCAGACACTTCTGATTCCATTTTGGAGGATATTTCGACCCGGGAGGTCACCTTATCTGTCTTCTGCCCGCCCCCCAGTGCAATATGTGCCACTCCTGGAGGGCTCTGGGAATTGAAACAGGATTCTTTTTTTAAACCCCCCCCCCTTATTAATTTTTCAAAAGAGGTTCCTCAGGGCTGAAAAAAAAAATCACCTGATAGGCCACACGTCACCCATCCTTATTTTAAAGAAACAAAAAAAATGAGGGGTAAATAATAATATCATTTCAGCACCTTTGCCTTGCTTTACCTGATTGGTCCATTTTCATAGATTTCTGCCATCATTTTTTCTCGCCCACTGACGTTTCCAAAATCTGCAACTTTCCAGAGGGTGTAATTCTTTATCGTGTGGCATTTTCCAAAAGTAACACATGTTCCACACTGGTTAAACTTCTGACAGGCTGCAAAATAAACAGAAGAATTTGATTGCCAAAATCTCCAGTTCAGCTCCCAGTCAAAATACAGAAATGGAGGCTTAAAATATACGTAAAAATATTTGGAGCAGTCTTTGCATTATCTCTACCCTGCTTTCCAAATACATCTTCCAAAGTATGTTGTGGGAAAGGAAAAAAACACACATAAAAATCACATTTAAGAAATAGCAACCATGTGGCAGCATTTTAAAAAATCATCAAAAAGAAAGAAACAACAAACTCAGTTGTGAACAACTTCTAGAGTAGAAGCATGATCAAATACTCCCTAAAAATGGGTGAAAGCAGAGAAGCCTGCTGTAAGGAAATGGAGGGGAGACGGGATCGTTACACCTGCTCGACTCCCCAAGGAAGGGAAGGATCCGCAGCAGCAGGTCTTTAACATGGAGGCCGTGTCATTTCTCTGTGTTGGGCCAGTGTGTGCAGAGATCAGAGTGTTTCAGCATTGGGATACAACTTCCAACATGTGACAACCAGCATGGCCACCAGGGAATTGTGGTCACCAAAACAAACATTCGCCATCTGTGCAAATGACAAGCCTATGATACCAGCCTTGATGTTCGGGCAGATTCAAGATAGGAAAGGAGAATGTCCCTCTATTATCCTTCAAAAACTGGGATTGTGGACTGGTAAGTTGCATCTCAGCCACAAATGCATGGCTAGTTGCCCAGTCTTAGGAAAAGCCTTTGCCTTCTCAACGGCAATAAGAAAGGTAGACCTTCCCCGGGCACAGCAAACAATACTGTAATAATAGCTCCGTTCAGGTGTAAAGTCATATTGCAATTTAAGGTTACAAAAATTTCAGCCTTTCTTATTTTACAAAATGATTTTTAAGGAATGTGCATCTCTTTCTAAACACCCAATACAGCTAACACAAGAAAACCAACTAAGGTACAGCAGTGACGCAAGAACCTGATTTAAAAAAAAAAATCAACTCAAATGACAAGGGCTGGAATAATCATATCCCGGAAACAGACTGCCCATAGCCCTGGTGGAGTGACAGCAAAAGGCTTTCAGGTAGCGCTGGATTCCTAATATAGAGAGAGCCAACAGGACTTTCTGAGACATGATCGACAGTCTGATGCTGCAATGGGGGAGACCTTTTAGAGGTGGGACAAAAAAAAAGCATCTCTAGCAGCAACAATAGCTGCTACTTGGAATACTCTGTAAAGTAGCTTTATCCTACCGCCCACATATTCTCAGATACTTCTTATTCAGACAGTTATGTAGTTGGCCAACTACACCAGAGCACAGGTTGCTGTCCTCTGAAGATGCTGGCCACAGAGACTGGCAAAACATCAGGAAGAACAACCTTCAGAACCCGGCCAAAGAGCCCGAAAAACCCAGAACAACCATCTAAAACGGTGCTTGACTACAAATCTCATTGGCCTCAGCCTGCAGAGCCAATAACAAGACATGTAGAGAATTGCAGCCCACCAATATTTAGCCTATCCCTGGTACAAAGCCATCAGACTAGCAAATACAGTGGTGCCTCGCAAGATGAATTTCATTCGTTCCACGGTTAATGTTGTCTTGCGAAATGCTTTTTCCCATAGGAATGCATTGAAATATAATTAATGCTTTCCTATGGGCAAAAAAAAAAGTCAGAACAAAGTTAAATTTGGTTTACAAAGGGTTTATTAAGGGCTCTTTAAAGCCATACATATTGTGCAGATGATTTTTAAAAATTCAATCAAAAAACTTTAGCTTTTTAAACATCATAGAAAAACATTTTAAAATCAGCAAACGTGAGGCAGGAAAAAAATGGAAAACATTCGTCTTGCGAAGCATGGCCATAGGAACATTTGTCTTGTGAGTCATCAACCCATTGCCAAAACCATTTGTCTTGTGAGGTTTTTTTTTTGCCCATTGGAACGCATTAACCGCTTTTTAATGAGTATCAGTGGGTTTTTTTTCCCGCTTGATGACAATTTCTCTCTACAGAGATTTCGCTGAACAGATTAATGTCGTCAAGCGAGGCACCACTGTATCTGGAATACATGACGAAAGCCGGATGACGAGATCCATGACTACAATACTACCATAGGCTAATAGATGTATGTAGGCAGGCTAGTAACTTCTGAGCTTCTTTGCAAGACTAGCATAAACGAATAAAGTATCTGACTCCCCGCCTCTCCTTTGCTTTTAACCCGCCTTGTATAGGAAACCCACCTTGGTCTTTAGCCTGGTAGTTGTTGCAGGTCTCATCTGGAATGCCATGCTCGTGCGCATACTGCCACACACCAAAGTCATCTCCTCCTTCACAGGATCCAGCATCAGCACAGTCAATAACATTCTGAACCGAGAGATAAGCCGAGGGCCAGGCACCTTTCTTCTTAATATTGATGCGATCTGAGAGACAAAAAAAACACCCCCACAAACCCAAATATTTGGGATCAGGCATAAACTAGGGCCTCCCAACATTCTAAGACCTAAAATCATGTAGTTTGAGAAGAGGTAGCCGTGTTTGTCTGTGCTAGTCTGTCAGGCAAAACGATATAAAAAAATAAAGACAACGAAAACATTGTGGCACCTTAAAGATGAATTTTTAATGTGAATTTTCATATACAAGTCCACGTCTTCTTTTTGAAGTACACTCCCCCCCCATCCCTTCAATCAGCAGACCTTAAGAGTTCCAGTTAAGAAAATGTCAAGTTACTTCTGAGGCACAGCAAACCTAAGAGTTACTGGCCTTCAAAAGCTTCTATCATTAACAGCTCTGCTCAGTTCTTGCATGCTAAAGGCTAGGGCTTTCTTTCTGGAGTCAGAAAAATAGATCCTACAACCTAACCCTGCCCCCACCAAAGTCTATCTTGCCTTGTTAAGAAAACAGAACCCCACAAATAGCCAGCCTCTGTTCGCCTCAGCTGCAGGGGAAATCTCTGCTTTATCACTTCCTTCCCCTTTCTTCCAAGTCCCAACTGCTCTTTCGACGTGATTCCCCATTTCCTCAATTGCTTCACCCAATATTTTCACTTTGCTTTTATTGCACGAGGTATGGACTGGCTAGTTTCACTGACATGCATGATATAATCTGAAGGCAGATCACAAGGCAGAAAAACTGGGCAGCTAACTCTGCATGCCCAGTGAAGTTACTGACTTTGACACCAGAGTTTGGAAATACTGGTTTAGAGGGGACAATCGTTCCCAGAATCCTCGTCAACATGGCCAAGGGAGCTGCCATTCAAAACCAGGGATCCAAGGCAGCTGTCATCCAAGCTCCGCCTGGGTCTCCCCTTCACACACATACCTCAGAAAAGAGAGAAAACCTGGGCATTTCAGGGTCCTACTGTGTGCTATAAAGCTGGACCTATTCGCTTTTCTTGTTGTAGACCACAATCCATTCACATTTCCACATTGTGGACCATACCTGCTAGGGCGCTGGTGCTGCCATGGGCCCAGCAGGACCCACAGTATTGAGGGATGTGTTGGTTGCGTGTGGTACTTGCATAATTGACCCCATCTATATTTCTCCAGTCCCAGCTCTTGGGCAAGGCAGATACATCCAGATATTCATGAGGACGAGGGTAGGTTCTATTTAGAAAGGAAAAAGCAAGCAAGTTAACTCTTCGTCCAGCCTTTGGGGGTGTTTCCAGCCTTTCTAAGAGGAAGGGTAGACATCTATTCCACAATGACGCATTGAAATCCTTTATATCAACAGCTCAAAGGCAGTACGGACTGCACGTCTCTTCCATTTTACCTTTACAGCAACTCTTCAAGCAAGGTTTAAAAAATTAGCACAAGGACACAGAGGGAGCTTTTTAGATATATGATTAGGGCTCTCTCTGATCTTAGCCTTCCACCTTCCGCCTATCTAGTGATGTGCTGAACTAGCTGGGGATGAGGGAAGCTGTAGTCCAGTCAGGAGCAGTGAACTTTTAGCCCTCGTGGTAAGTGAGAATTTGACTCACGGAAGCTTCACTCAGCATATTCACTTATAAAGTGAACAATTGCATCACTTTGGGTTTGTTTAGTTTTTCCTCTGAGGTGATGATCACATGACTGCTCTCATGACTTCCCCCCCCTTCATCAGCCCAGCAGGCTGACATTTCTTCAGAACACTCATGTGATCACAACAGCTTTGGAAATGCGATTCAAGGTGGGAGTCTGACCAGCCTTTGGGGCGCTGGAAAAGAATTGTCACAGAAAATGCTCAAGGCGGCAAGGATGGTGGGCGTTCTAGGTGCTATCAGTCCGTCCAGATCTGCAGAAGGTGGGAGTGAAAGCTGCAATGATTAACATGCAGCCCTGCATATGACAGCAAACTCATTCTCTGAGTGCATATCAACACACTCATGCGCAAGTATGAAACAGGTATATACATGGAAACAAAAACTCAAGGATGGGGAGGACTGGAATCAGACTACAAATTCCTGTCAGTGAAGACTGGGCAAGCTCAGTGGAGTAAAATATTGAATTGACCATTGGGGAGGAACAGAACACGAAAATAGTTGGACTGGCTACAGCCCTGGAGAGGAACACATTACACTGCAACATTTTGTTACAGGTGCCATCAGAACCTCCTTAGGACTCAAATAAATAAAACTAGCTCTCCCAAGTGGCTATACTCACAAATCAGTACTGGGGATTACAGATCTCTTTTTACTAGAAACAAATGTTTATGTGGCTCCTGTCACTCACTAGGCAGGGCAGCCAATTTCGGTGTAATTTGACTTTTTCTCTTTTTTTGAACCAGTGTGATACCTAAACTTGATCTTACTCTTGTTCATCTCTCCTGCCTAATTTTGCAAAGCAGCCTTTTTGTCTTGCATAAGACAACGCAAGACCCACTGCACTGTTTGATGCATTGCATGGAGACTCTTGGTCTGATCAGATGGTGATTTAATTCACGTTTTGGTCGACCACTTTTGGGCCCATCTCATTCAATATCTTTTCCAGCAACAAGACACACGGGAAATCGTAAACTTGCCTGGCCCCGTTCTGTGCCCGTCTGGGCATTTTTGGGGTCAGTAGCAAAGCTACTCTTTTTTGGAGTTGGGATGGAAGGATGGCATCCAGATCATGTGTACACAGAAGGATGGCTTTAAATTTTTATTTATTTATTTATTCAGATTTATACCCTGCCCATTTAGTGAACCGCCACATTAAAGACTGGGAGGTGCGGGTGGGACGGGAAGATGACCTGAGGGAGAGGGGCTCTGACAGGTAGCAAGGTCCTAAACCGCAAAGGGCTTTATAAGTTAGCATCAATACCTTAAAAATGACACAGCACCCAGCGAAGCGACCCTTTTTCAGAGCCACTCTGCTTCTCTGTCTGACTGTAGCTTAAACCAGGCATCGGTGTGGAAGGACTGTACATGAATGCCTCGGTCGAATACCTCAGTCTCATGTAGAATCAGCAAACTCCAATTTGCCCGGCTGACAGATTCATCTGGCCCAATTTTGGATGTCTTTGCATTAACTCCACATTTTGTATAATCCTTGCCCAATGAGGTGTTACAGAGAACCCAAAGGGAAAAAGAACATGTGGCTGTTTTGCATTCAAAGCACATGCTTAAGGGTCACCAGATATATAGAAGCCAACGAGAGTTCCTGTACCCTTAATAGCTGTGTGGAGGAAGAGAGTATCGGCAGATGTTCACTTGCACAAAAAGCTGCACCTGGTGAAGCTTCCTTTTTGAAGCCACCATTGAAGGTCCAGGAACTCTGACTGCTGAGCTGTAGACCAGGCTTGTCCAACCTGCGGCCCATGGGCCGCATGCGGCCCAGGTCAGCTTGTAATGCGGCCCAGTGCAATTTTTTTTATTTTTAAAGAAATTCCAAAGTTTCAAGTTACACTGCCGGCGCTTGCGGCCGGGGCACATCACAATGGTAGGGAGGGAGAGAGGGAAGGAAGGAAGGAGTGGGAGGGGAGGGGACAGGGGGGCTGCGTGACTGCATTGCGCCATCCCTGTCAATAGGTGGACCCCCTCCCGGCCCCATAAAGCCGCCGGAGTTGAAGCTGGCAGCTACTGCTATCTGAGATCGCAGCTGCTGGTAAGCGTACTTGGAGCGGGGCTGCGGAGGACGGCTAGGGCTGCTCCCCCATGTGGCCCAAACCAAATTTATGTGCGGCCCAAACCAAATTTTCATCTTCTAATGTGGCCCAGGGAAGGTGAAAGATTGGACACCCCTGCTGTAGACCTTCCCCAAAAGAAGTATTTGTTGTGTGCCATCAAATCAGAACTGACTTTTAGGGACCCTAATAGGATTTTTCAAGATAAATGAAGTATTTAAGGAGTTCCACCCCCCTGGTGAGTTTCCATGGCAGAGCCAGGAGGAATTGAACCCAGTTGTCGTGAGTCCTCGTCCATTACTCTATCCACTCCATTCCACAAAAGTACCCCAACTTAATCACTCTGGCATTTATCCCAACCTGCCTTTTCCAACATTTATAAATACCTTATCGTTTAAATCATGAAATCATTGAATCATGGAGTGGGAAAGGATCTATAAGACTATCAAGTCCTTTACTTTACTTTTATTGAACTTATACCCCGCCCCTCCTAGACAAAGTCTACTCGGGGTGGCTTACACAAGTAATAAAGCACAATAAAATAACACACATAATAAAACCTACCAAGTAAATAGCTAAAAACCCTTGCTCATTGAAAATCCAGATCAAAGCAGATCTGACAGATGGTTATCCACTTTTCTTTGAATGTTGGAGTACAAGAGTATAATGGCCTCTTAATGACTAAAGAGTTTTAATTTGGCCTAAGCGTGGGTGGACTGCAACCCACTTCTTCAGATGCACAGAGTGCTGTCTCCCTTGACAGGTATTTATGGTATTTCTGTACCTGCTACCTGAGGCCGCACTCCAAGCACATGAGGAGGAAGCCTTCGAGAACATACAGGAGGAAGTGTTGCATCCAAGCCACATGGGATGAAAGCAACGGTTCATAAGGGGAAAATCAATGTCTAGTCTTGCCCTCTTTCTGCAGTTAACAGCCATCCCTCAGGGAGGATTCTGCATATAGTTGGGAATTCAAAAAGGGACCCAACAAGGGGATGTAGGTGTGCTAATATGTCCTCGTGCACCTGTCCCCTTTCTTAAGAAGAAAAAGTTCTTGTGCTATATCTATTCCGAGAGCAGAAAGGATGCCCAGCAGGAGACTTATAGACCAGTGGTTCTTAACCTTTGTTACTCGGATGTTTTTGAACTGCAACTCCCAGAAACCCCAGCCAGCACAGTTGGTGGTGAAGGCTTCTGGGAGTTGCAGTCCAAAACTCCTGAGTAACCCAAGGTTAAGAACCAGTGTTATAGACGATGCAGGTCTCCATAAACACTGCCTTCTTCCAGAGCCAGGTTGTTGCCACCAGCGGTGCATCATGCCATTTTTTCTTTAATAATCACATTTGTATCCCAGGAAATTCAAAGCCGCCAACATAGGATTTACCCCCCACGTGATCCCCACCAAAACTTTTGTCTGTGAAGCAGCCTGGTGAGAACCGGTGGCCAAGGCTCCAGGACCCAGCCGGCCAGTTTTAGCCAAGGCCGTTTTAACCCGGATTCAAGCCGCACCACAAACTGCCTCAGCTGACGGGGCGGACGCGCTGCGGAAGGGAAGCGGGGCTTCCTTTCCGCATCACCCGAGGAAACTTGGGGCGCACAGTCGGTGGGGGGCCCCCAAGCGCGGGAGGAGGGCTCACGTCCCCTTCCCCGTGAGTGGGGGGTCCGGCCCCGGGAGACATAAACGAAGGGCAAGAGACCCCGATCCGAGTTCTGGACCCTTGACCTCCCCACAACAATAACAGCTTTTGGAAAGGTCCCCCCCCCCGCGCGCGCGCCCCGGTCTGAGAAGGCAGGGCGCGCAAAGAAGCCGCGTTACCCTGCGAGGCACGTGGGGGGGGTATTTAAGGAATAAAATCCCCCCCTTTCCCCATTTTGGGGTCTCGGTGACTTCCCAAAGGAACGGCGCCCCGCAAACGTAAAGACCCCCCCCGCTCCCGCCCTAGCCGGGGGGGAGAAACCAGAACACAACCCCCTCCGCCTCCCTTCCTGGTTTTCCGCCGGCGCTCTTACCGAAGCCCGGCGTGTTTCCGCGGCAGCGGCTTGTAGCAGCTCTGCCCTTCCTGGAAGTGGAGGCCGGCGCCGAGGGAGCTCCCCAGGAGGAGCGGCAGGAGGAGGAGGAGGAGGAAGGGAGCCCGCCCGGCCATGATCGCGCTGGCAACGCGATCCTTCTGGAGGAGGGGGAAGTTGTCCCGGAAAGGAGCGCGGCCGAAAGCAGGCTCTGCTGGGCGACTATAAAGGCTGCGCCCCGGGCAAGGAGGAGGAGGAGGAGGAGGAGGAAGGCCAGGAGAGAAGAAAGCCAAGGGCTTGGCTTGGCTTGGGTGGGGTGGGGTGGGGGAGCCGCCCGCTAGGCAAGCGTTTGCAGCTGATCTGCCTGGACGGTGCAGTCACAGGGCGATGGACTGGTTTGCCTGGGATTGCAAAACTTTCGGGTTTTTCCCCGTCTGGGGGAGAACAACGGGCGGTGACCCCTCCCTTCCCTTCCCAGTCCAAATCCATCGACGCCCAAAGCGAGCTAACCTATGGCTGTTGTGGGTTTTCCGGGCTCTTTGACCCGTGTTCTGAAGGTTGTTCCTCCTGACGTTTCGCCAGTCTCTGCGGCCGGCATCTTCAGAGGACTGGAGTAGGAACTCTGTCCATGCTCTGTTGCTGTTTGTTGGATAGTTGAGTATTTAGGCCCAGGGCATGAGCAATCTGTAATAAATAAATGAAGGGCTACACAAAACAAGCCAATCCTTCTTCATCGCCAGGTCGTGCAAGAGGTGGTCGCCCCTTCTGGGATCGCAGGCTGAGAGGCCAAAGTAGGTTAGCTAGTATTCTAGCTAAAGAGCCAAAGAGCTATACTGAAAATACTCAACTCAACCCACAGCTATAAATACTCAACTATCCAACAAGCACCAACAGAGCATGGACAGAGTTCCTAATCCAGTCCTCTGAAGATGCCGGCCACAGAGACTGGCAAAACGTCAGGAAGAACAATCTTCAGAACACGGGGCCAAAGAGCCTGGAAAACCCACAACAACCATCAGATTCCGGCCATGAAAGCCTTCGAGAATACTAGCTAACCTACTTTGGCCTCTCAGCCTGCGATCCTAGAGGGCCTAAAGGATAGGTTTTTCCAAGCTCTGGTCCGAAGGAGCGATAATAGCCCGTAGGCAAGGTGGGGGTTCCGCGAGAAGCAAAGGTCCACGGGCAGAAAGCCTCCCGCGGACCCAGCTTCCTTCTGCTGCTTCTGGGGCACAGACTGCTCATGAAGGGGCTGAGCGAGGAGGCCTCGACTCCCCCAGCCTCTGTTCCTTTGTTGCCCAGGCTCTGAAGATGTTCTGGAGGCCACCGCTGGTCTAGGATGCAGGAAGCCATGCGCTAGGAAGTGTGAAAATACAGTGACAGCTTTGTGCCCACTCTTTGTTTTCTGCCAAAATGGTTTCAGGCCTAGTCATTTCTCCCACATGATCTTGCCCTCTCTCCCTCTCTTTGAGGTGGATCAAATATGCATGTAAAACAGGGTAGGGCCTTTCCACCTAGTGACCCCCAGGACTGTGGAACTCCCTGTTGATTTAAACCTCACTTCATCTGTGTACAGGTATTTAAGTGAGTTTGTGAAAGTTTCCTTCTCAGTGCTTCGTTATTATAATGTCATGATGAGCACGTAAGCTGCAATGTGGAGCAACTTCTCAAAAATTAGTCTGCTTGCTAAAGGACATGATTTAAATATTCCAATTAAGCTATATTATTCGTGTACTTTGAAACGTTACTTGCTCTTGTTTGTACATCACTCTGTGAAGGCGCGACCCTAAGAGTACGTAAAATTACATAGTGAACAAATAAATTGCTTTTTTTGTGGACAAATGGAATTATGGAGATCCAGGAAAGTCTGCAGGGAGTCTAGGTTGATTCTGGAGTTGTTTTCCACTATCTGCACACCAGAGTATGCTAAATCCATTACTGTATTTTTATAGTTCAGCCAGTCACCTGAGCACATAATGGAACCTGATATTTAGTGATGGATTTATGTGTGTCTGCAGATGAAAGTCACAATCTCGAAGAACATCATTCATAAATCAGATGTAAGCTGTTGTACAATTTAGGGCATTGTTAGAGACTGCTGAGGGACGTGGTGGCGCTGCGGGCTAAACCGCAGAAGCCTTTGCTGCAGGGTCAGAAGACCAAGCAGTCGTAAGATCGAATCCACGGGACGGAGTGAGCTCCCCTCCCTTGTCCCAGCTCCCGCCAACCTAGCAGTTCGAAAGCATGCAAATGCAAGTAGATAAATAGGGACCACCTCGGTGGGAAGGTAACAGCGTTCTGTGTCTAAGTCGCACTGGCCATGTGACCATGGAAGATTGTCTTCAGACAAACGCTGGCTCTGTGGCTTGGAAACTGGGATGAGCACCACCCCCTAGAGTCGAACACGACTGGACAAAAATTGTCAAGGGGAACCTTTACCTTAGAGACTGCTGGATCTATAATTTGTATTGTACAGTTCATGGACTAAGGGGTACAGTGTGATTTGCTGGGGAGTTAGGATGGCCCCATCTGAGACCCATCATGATTCTCATCAGAAGTGCTGGGTCAGTTGCTCGTTTCTATAGCACAATCTGCAAACCATAGTGGATTTGCAGTGTCTCCTTATACAAACCATGAAGATGTATGCCTTTGATCTAGATTTCTTTGCCAAGATAGCACATTCAAGTGTTGGAGTCTTTACTGGAAGTGGAGGGCCTGGTTATGAGCTGTCCATTTCCTCCAGAGGGTCAAGACTTTTAGAGACAGGCTCATATTAGCAGTTTGGAAAGAATGGTCTTAGAAACAAGGGAAAAGCCATGTGGTCTCTGTGATCTCCTGGGATGATTTTGGACTTCATTGTGTTCTTCACCACTACCGCCAGCAGCAGGGGCAAGTTCTAGCCTGATGAAGAGTCCTGCATAGCCCAAGAAGAAGACAACCAGGGATGCAATGAAAGGGACTGGTGAATAATTACATGACAAAAGAGTGTAAGACTTGGCAAAATAAGACTTCCTAATAGGAATAAAGTGCAAGTCAGGTATCAGAAATTCTGGCCAGTAATATGTTATTCTGTCCATCATTTATTACCTTCTTTGCCTTGAGAAGTAGCTGTGCTGAACAAACTTGCAAAAGAAGTAAAATGGAGGTAAAACATTTGCCCCTGGACACATATTGGGTTCATTTATTGCTCAGTCAATATTAGACTTTGTGCTGTTTCTGAAGCATTAAATCATAACACTAAATTTAGAAACCCTTCATGAGCCAAGCACTAAATTAAAGCAGTGCTGGAAGCATTACCCTGCTCCAAGGGCACTCCACTCATCCGTATGACAGGTACCCAGAGCACATGTGGGTGGCATATGCCTCAGGCCTATATACTTCCTTGGGATGTACTGCCAACTACCTCTGTCTTCTGGCTGACTCTGAATATTTCCTACTGGCTTTGAATATTCAGTGGCACTTTACGCGGAGTTTGCATGCTGAGATGCCATGCTTACTGGAAGCTCATGAAAGTTGAATCAAAGATGAGCAGCATTAGGAGCTCCTCCAGTTATTATTCACAACTTAGCGTGTTTCTTTTTGTTTGTGTTCAGACACTCAGGGTGCAATCTGACAGTGACATAAGATCTTCTGGGTTCACACCCTGGGTTGTTTCACTGCATGCCGTCTTGAAAGCAACTCTTTAAAGAGACCCTTTTGTCTACGTGCAATCGCACCCTGATCATTCCAGCCCTGGTGCTGGACCAAAAAAAATCCAGACTGGTCACAGAGGAGACTGCTGGATCTATAATTTGTATTGTACAGTTCATGGACTAAGGGGTACAGTGTGATTTGCTGGGGAGTTAGGATGGCCCCATCTGAGACCCATCATGATTCTCATAGTAGGGCTGGTTCATGATCTCCTGAACACCATCTGCTCCAAAAAGCAAAATAAATTGCTGTTTAATTACACCAGTTTCTCTGCAAGGAGGATCACGTGATTATGGTGTGTTTTTTGTTGGATGGTCAAGCAATCTAGATGGGCTGTTTAATTACACTAGTTTCTCTGCAAGGAAGATCACGTTCTGTGAACTCGTGATTATGGTATTTTTTGTGGGATGGTCAAGCAATCTAGATACACATTTCTAAGGGGAAGGGCCTCCAGCACACAAACTAACTTATTCAACTGTTTACATACTAACCAATTAGAGGGAGTTTGTTGTTCCCGGGCTAGAGTAGCTCCACCTCCGTTTCCTGCCCTTCTCGCCATGAGGTGATTGAACCTCCATTGTTGGTCCCCATTCTTGCACATGCTTTTCAAGATGTAACACCTCCACCCTGGCTCTCTGAGCCTAGAGATCCCTCCAGCCACGTGGGCCAAGGAGAAGAACATTGTTTTGCTAATTTTCTCTTTCTGTATCGACCTGAAACCTTCTGAATGCTTATCTATGTGAGTAGAATATAGAATTCTTTCTTTAATACAAAAACAGCCTCCTGAGTGTTATTTTTAAGTGCTAGTATTTGGTGAGGGGCAGGTATAGAAGGGAACTTCTAGCTAATTCTGCCCAACCGGCTGGTGCTTCCTGCTGTGCATTTAGTGGAATTCAAGCGAGTTCCCACAACTCTCAACATTTTTCCCCGTGTATGAAATGCCCCCATGTATAAGACGCCCCCCACTTTTCTAATCCAAAATTAAGAAATCTAAGTGGGGAAAGCAAGTGCAGGGGGAAAGGGATCAAAGTGCTTTGATCCCTGCTTTCCCCTCCACTTGTTTTTGTTCTCTCCTCAGCTTACTTCTGTGTATAAGGTGACCCTCAATTTTTAGTCTAAAGATTTTAGACAAAATATAGTCTTATACACAGAAAAATACAGTACTTCAGTTTAGTTTTCCAATCCATTAGAGACAATAGTCCTTTTTGCAGTAGGTACATCGAAGCAATGTGTGTGTTGTGGCTGGGGGAGAGGATGTTACTGTGAAAGAAGACTGGAACTTTAAACATCCATGGTGGGCAAATCGCACTCTTGACACCCACAGGGGGAAAGCTAAATTCTGTCACTTACATACATTTTAGAGTTAAAACATGCACAATTCAGCAGTAAGGCTCTAGCCAATGTTGATAGCATAACAGTTTGAATCATTCTCCTACCATCAGCCAAAAGTCTACGAACATGTTTTCTGGTATCAGGGAGGCCATGCTCTGCCAGGAGTGCGGGATGCTAAAGGTGCCAGTTTTCAGAGCTCCCCCAGCACCCTGCCTGGTATAGTGTTGCTCCAAAGGTACTCTGGAAACAATTAAGTGTCGA